TATATATATATATATATATATATATTATCAATATATTCTACCTAGAAATTGGGCCACAAAGCTCAACACTTCCAATCCTAAGCCCAACTCAAGATGTTGGGTTAAATCTTAAGTTAAGGCTAGATTGGTAAGAGAAAAGGGTGGGGAAATAAGAGTTTTAAGGACAATAAATTAGGAGTGTGGAGAGATTTTAGGAGAGAGAGTGGATAAAGAGAGATTTTAGGAATGTTTTTAGTAAGGAAATTTTAAAGATTGATGACTTGGTAGTTTGGGAATGGTGGGAAGGGAGAGGGAGAGAGAATTAAGGAGAGAGAGCAACGTGGGGGTTTGGAGCAAGGAGAGGCATGTAGATGTGTAAATGCTATATTAAATATATAATATTATTTATATTATATACATCAAAATATACTTAAAATATTATTTACATACTAATTTTCCTTTATTTTAATAAATACCTTTCTAAAAATAAACTTTTAATTAAAAAATGTGGGAATTTAGGTCCCTGATGGGGAGCCCATCTCCATCGAGGATTGAGAATGCAAGCTAAATTTTTTCCTGATAGGGGTTAGGGTTAAAGACATGAATTAATTTAAAACTCAGGATCAGGACAAGGAGTATGATCCTCGCTTCGAACCCACCCATTGTCATTCCTATCGGGGGGGGGGGTCATTCACCAAACCTATAAATATAGTTCCAATAATTATGGTAATTATATATGTAATATCAAATGCTTATGTAAATTATTAAAAATTTTCAATTATTTATTTGAATAATTGAAAGTTTTATAATTTACCTTTCACTAAATTAAATTACCAAAATCAGTAATTTTTAGTAATTAAATTACCAAAATTATAGTAAAGATCAAAATTACAAAAAATATAAAAATAGATTTATATTTATCGAAATTAATTTTCCACTAAAAATTTTTAATTATTATCTGATAATATCATTAAATATTAATAAATTGACAAAAAAATGCTGAAAATGTGAAAAATAAATTTATATTTGTTGAAATTAAATTTTAAATGAAAAATTACCAATAATTTTTTATTAATAAATTTGTATTTATTAATATCTTAATTAATTATCAATTTTCAGTAATTATTGATTTCAATAATTAATTTTCAAAAATTTCTGAAATTAAATTACCAAAATTAGTAATTTTCAGCATATTTTTAGTAATTAAATTTTCCAATTTACCAAAATTATGAAAATATATAGTTCAGGTGTTGATATTTACTGAATAATGTTCAACAATATGAAGAATTATTAAAAATATAAAAAACTATTTCACAAATTAAGTTAGTTAATTAATTTAATCACGTTTTTTTTTGGTTTTTAGTTGGTTAATTGGGCATGTAATATAGATTAAGAGTTGTTTTAGGTGGGAGAGATAGTTTAGAAGAGATTTTAGGAGGGGGTTGGCTAAGTGTCTTTGAAACATGAGAGAGAGAGAGAGAGAGAGAGAAGGTTGCCACAACCCTACATGGATGGGCTAGGTTTTAGGCAAGTCTGCCATGTTCCTACATGGATGGGCTAGGTTTTAGGCAAGTTTACATTTGTGTGGATTGAGAGAAACCATAGGAAAAGATTAGAGAGAGATTGTAGGAAAAGATTTCCTAAGTTAATGGGTTTTCTTCCTAATTTAGTAGGGCAAAAAAGGGAAGATTTTCATTCTAGGTTGCAACTCCATAGGCTTCTAGAGGGAATCTTGCACTCTCTCTAGAATTGCTCGGTTTGGATAACCGAACAAGGAAAGGGTTGCTGATGTGGCAAGCTCTACTTTAGTGTGTGTGTGTATTTAAATTGAACCAAATCCAATTATATCAAATATGATAGGGGTGGACCTTAGAATCACCCTTAATAGGATCGAATAACATTTACTTGGTAAGCAATAAAGCGATACAGGCCCCAAGCAAAAGCCCATGAGTTCATCAGTGCATAAATGCCGTTTGAACAAATCAGGATACAATTGCACCTCCACCCACCAAATTTGTTGCTGGTGCAGTACAAAAACAAACCACGTTTAGAGAAGCTTCAAAGAAAAGAAATAAAGCCAAAATAAACAGGAAGAACAACTCTTCACTGAATACTTAAGAGAAAATCAAACAAAAACTCCCCTAGTATTGCCCTAGCTACTCTTTATATAGACTTCTTAACACCCTTATGTCTCCTATAAGAAAGTTTCTTAATCTAATAAAACACTCCTTATTATAATCATACTTAATCTCTTCAAAAAAGAAAGTCCTAATTGAATAAAAATTCGGAAATCACGCTATAACGCTAACTTGATAAATATGAACTAAGATAGAAACTTTGTGATGGTGCCAACTTGGCAAACACGAACTAAGATGGGTTGTTGAAGCCGACTTAGTAATGATTTACTCAATTAGTTCGAATCCCATATTGCATCATCCTCCTCGGGTTGGAGAGAACCCGACCTCGGATTCAAGTTACCATTTGAGAGGCGGCCAACATATGTTGTTGCACTTTTGCTAGGGTTCTTTGTTTTTGACCCTTTGACAGATAACTGGTGGTGCAACCCTCCAATACGGATTGGAATATCTTCACCATATATCTTATATTTTGAAATATATCTCCTGCACTTCATGTAAGATGGTTCTTCCTTTAATGATCATTCTGAACATTGCAAAATTACTTGCCAATAAGGATCATTATATGCTTGTATGAAGACACTATGATTATAACCCCCAAGATTATAGGTATTATCTCCATCATTTTGAAAATCATGATGAAGGATAATATACTCATCCTGAGGAATGGGTTCTTTATCATAGATTGGAGGTTTGGTCTAATCAACATGTTGTTTTTCAATATATGTTGAGGAAAATGGCCACACAAGATTTTCGTTACAATCCTCAATAATATTAACGCAATCAACAACAAAGTCATAAGATATGATTTTACCTTTAGAATCTAAAATTGCTAACTCCTCCATGGAACTCTAGTCCATGAAATCATCTGAGGTTATACCTTCATTAAATTTCGGGAATTCAAACTTGAGATATGTTTCCCATCACTTCTATCACCACTTGCAATTACAGCCAATTTGGTTGCATACCAAGTAGAGGAACTTCTATAAAACTTTGGGATTTCAATATTGAAATTCATTTCCCACTGTTTCTGGTCACCATCCGCAACTACAACTAACTTGGATGCTTGCCTTGATGATGAAAAGGAATGAACTAAGACTCTTGCGTCGGAGTCGCTGTCCCCTTACAATGATTTTAACTCTTGAGCAAGTGCATCAATTGTCTTCTCAACTCTAGCACCTCTTTTTATGCTTTGTTGTTGAGTTTCTGCTCCATGATGTGAACCACTTGTTTCTTCTTAGGATCTATAATCTTAAGAAGGATCAAACATGAACTCTAATACCAAATGACATAGTACAGAAACAAACCACATTCAGAGAAGTTTCAAATAAAAGAACTAAAGCCAAAATAAAAAGGAAGACTAACTCTTCACTGAATATTTAAAAAAAAAATCAAACAAAAACTCCCCTAGCATTGCCCTAGCTATTCTTTATATAGACTTCTTCACACCCTTGTGCCTCCTACCAGAAAGTTTCCTAATATAATAAAACATTCATTATAATCCTAATAATTCTCTTCAAAAAAAGAAAGTCCTAATTGAATACAAATTTGAAAATCACATTGTAACGTTAATTTGGTAAATACAAAATAAGATAGAAACTTTGCGATGACACCAATTTGATAAAAACAAACTAAGATGGGTGGTCAAAGCCAACTTAGTAATGATTTACTTAGTTCAAATCCCGTACTGCATCAGTTGCATACTTGCATGGTTGTAGTCTTTCTAATGTGGATGCATACATCTAACATGGAGGCATGTAAAAACCTAATGTGGCCCTTGTTGGCCAACCACTTTCTGCTGCTTGATTTCCTTCTCAATGAGTATGGTTGTAGACGATATTGCATTCCTCTAGCATCACTTGCGTTCCTCCAAGTCTCTAACTTCTATTGCTTTTCTTGAGTCTCCTTCGATGATGACCTTCTTTGGTTTAACAAAATAACAAATCAATTAACCTGTGTTCTTCAAGAGCTCCTCTCATCTCTGGAATTGTGATAGTAGCATTTGCATTTCCAATCGAACCTGTTTTGAACAAGAGAGTTTTGCCTAGGTGGTTTTATTGTTTGATTTCATCATCGATGCATCGAAGTTAATCTTGATTGTGCCAACTTCTGGGGGTCCATTTGATCCAAATAGCTTTCTTTTCCTTGTCCTTTGGCAGGCCCAAAGCATTTTGGGCTTCAATAAAGACCTTATAGTTTTGAAGTGCTTTATTAATTAGATCTGAGGGCTCAGTGCTTTTATATTTTATCATTCTTTTGTTCATGTTAAATTTCTATGGGCATTTCAGGACGAGGTCACGAAGTCCTTATTTCGAGTTGCTTCGTTGGATCTTCACGTTGGAAGTTGGTTTGTAGTTTGGACCGCACCGCAACGCAAAATTTTCTGTAAATTGAAATCCCAGCCAGGCCAACTTGTCACATTCCTTCTACCTATTTTCCTCTAAACAAACAATTCAAGGTCGCCATGGTGGTTTTGGACATTTCGTTGTTCACCGCAGTAGCCCACAGTATCAATTTTTTCGCACACCACCAGCACCACTACCACCATGTGCAGAACACTAAATTCTAACATGTGACCAGATGCTATATAGAACCCACCTTTGCAATCTGTCACCTCAAAAATGTAGAAACAAAGTAAAATTAGGCCCAAAAGGGCAGTCCAGAATCAAAATCCCAAGCGTTGCTTTTAGGCGGATAAGAGTTCTGGTGCTGTTGTTGGTGATGATGTTCATAGAGGTTTTGATTTTTGAAGTGGCCTCGGTAACATCGTCATACTATTCTGGTTCCAACCTTAAAAGGCTATGGCAATAGGAAAAGGGAATGAAGGGGGATAAACAGACATACCAATACCCCCACTCCCAAGTCCCAAACAGAGAGAGAGAGAGAGAGAGAGAATACCAGAGCTCTTGCCGGCAAACAGAATTATGTATTTATGTTGGAACATTATGGAGGAAGATCCTCTTACATTTGCACTAATAACACTATAAATGATGGCACCACACAGCCTACAATTAACAACTACAGACATAATTCCGCTTAACACTAACCAGAAAAATTGCAGAATAAAAACTCGACAAAAAGCAAACCATTTGTTCAAATCTTGCCGCATTATGCCTGTTATTTGTGAACTCGTCACTTTGTGTAGAGAACATCCTCCCATGGGTGACGGTAAAGTGGCTGCTTCAATCTCTTCTGGTCAAATGTATGACTGCAAATTTCATAACAGATTAATGTCAATCTAGAGATGCCATGTTTATGTATACTAAGGTATAGACAGTGCATTGGTCCTCCAAAACATATCATAATCTGTACCGCATATATATCTTTCGTCACTAGTCATGCTGTCATGTAATGCAACTCTTTTCCTAGCCATATTTGCTATCATGTACCATCTCAAGAAAAGCTATTTTCATCATATAAGAAAACAAGGAAACATACTCGGTCTAACTTAATACAATTCATGTTAATAGTAGTGCTCACAACATCCAATCTAAAATTGGGCTAAACATTATATTGTCACCTTGATGGAGAAACGTTTGATTTAGAGCCGAGTGATTTTTTTTCCCGGTGTTATATATTACACATTGTAGGGGATTAAGGGGAGGGAGCAGAGCAGGGTGCACGTAGGTCCACTGACATTACCACAGAGAGCCTGCAGTTATGTGGGTTTCATCCTGTGACTCCAACTAGGAGGGATGCCAATCAGGGTGTATGTGATTTAGAGCCAAGAGTCATGCTAGTCCCTAGTAGTATGTGAATGTCATGGAATTGATCCTAACTTACTAAGCAAATAGAATCAAGATGCAAAGAAAATATCGGATTTTTATGCCTCATCCAACTCACCCAATCAAACCAATGGAGCGTGCCAGCACAAAGAGCCCATTCAAATATCCAATCTCAACGATCTCATCAATTTCTTGCTTGGTGAACATTCCACTGCCAGCAAGAAGATCCAAGAAAAGAGACCCTATTGCACCATCTACATTGAGGACCAGATTGTTTGCTTTTGACAAGGTGTAGGTTTCAACTTGAACTGCATATTCCATGTACTTCACAGATGGAAAATGTGTGCGAGCAAACTTCTGTAGGAGCTCCACTCTCTTGTCTCTGTTGTCTCCCCTCTTGATCCTTCATCACAACAAATGAAAATTCAAAATTAGAATCACAGGCACAAGAAGTCCTTTGAAATGACACCACCACTGGAATTGCTGCAAAAATCTACAATAGTTTTGGTGTAAGGGTAGGGTATTCGGATGACTTCCTAATTCAGCTTATCTTGATTTTGACACAGTGAGTTCACTAAAGAAGCTTCATACCTGTGTCCAATTCCAGGTACACGAATACCTTTCTTTTTCATGCTTTCAACAAACTCATAAGGTGAAAGACCCTGAGAAGAAACAGCATGATGATAATCTTAGTATTTCCATATTTATTTTTCAGCAATGACTGTATATTTTTTGATAAATCTGGTAATTATTATGTAAGCTCACCTTGTCATAGGCATCCTTGAAGTATCTAGCAGCATCATCAATAGCCCCACCAAACCGGGGACCAATTGTAAGCAACCCTGTTCCAGAAACCCATTGATGTAAAAATCCCATGACTACATTTTTGGATTTTTTTTCTTAATTCAGCAATTTAACATACTAAGCAGGGGAAGTTATATCATATAGATGGTTAACTGTGACCACAAGGAATGGGAACTATCATGGAGTTGATAGATTGCTGTCGAGCAGTAATACCTGAAACAAGGCTGGAAACTAGGTCCTTTCCAGCCCTTGCTGTAACTATTGTATTGTGAGCACCAGAAACACAGGGACCATGGTCGGCACATAACATTATGCAAATCTGCCCAAGACATAGTTTTTAGTAAAAGTACTTGTTTATCCACAAAATCTATTGACAGAGATATCAAGGAAAACATTGAATACAAATAAAAACAGACATGTTTAAGATGGGAAACAGGGTTCACAATAAGCTAAGACCTTATGACAAACCTACCTCAATAAACTGTGTACAATAACGGGGAAGACTGCGCTTGAACCACAAAAGAGAGATAACATCTCCAACACCATAACCCTGTTCAACAATGGATGACATTGGGACACCAGCATAACGTGGCTCTTCACCTAAAATACAGGAGAAAAGAAATTTATGTTATTGTTTTCTTGTGTATATCTTCAAAGGGTTAAATACTAAGACAAGGGAATAGAAAGATTCAAATTGAACCTCTATCATCAGAGATTGTTGAAATGATATGAGTTGGAGCCCGGACTTTTCCACTCTTAATTGCAGTGTTAAGATCCTCAGGGATCTGAGGAGGCTTAACTTCTTTCACTGGTTCGATCTTCCCCTCTTCAACCTAAGATCGAAGCATCCACATGTGCCAAATAAGCTAGGAGTCTACGGAGTAATTTTTTCAGCTATAGGAAAATGGAAAAGAAATCATCACTAAGCAGATTATAAATAGATCATAGTATGGTTAACCATACAAGTTTCTCAAAAGTCTCTTTAATTGCAGACTCAAATGCTTCATATGAAGTTGGAACAACAGCTCCTGCTTCCCTTAATGCTTGATTCTTTGCTTGTGCAGACTCCATCTCGCCACCACTTTTAGCACCCTGATTCAACAATATCATGCATTATTAGATAAGTGGTAACTCCAAATAAAATAGCCTAGGAGGGTCAAGATATAGGATGGTAACTCACAGCATGACCAAATTGCACTTCCGACTTGAAGAGTCGTGCACAAGTTCCACTAACCCATGCAACTACGGGTTTATTGACCTTCCCTTGTTTTAGTGCTTCGACTAGGGAGTACTCATCTCGCCCACCAAGTTCCCCAAGCACAACCATCATTTTGACCTGAGTCAGCTTAGAGCATTAAGTAAAGAAAGACACATTTTTTGCTATGAGAAATTCCTCAAATAGGAGGGAACTCACATTATGCTACTTATCTGCATTTATAGTTCAATTTTATTGTTTATAAGTCATTTTCTTAACTCTTGTGGTTGCATTTATATGTTGTTAAAAATACTGGAGTCAGGCTGTTAACCCTTAGGCTTTTGTAGTGCATCTTCAAATATAGGAATGCTTTAGAACTGGCATATTAAAAATTGCAACTAAGTTTTGCATGGCTCATGAATAAATTTCTGGGTCTAGTATAAACTTCACAACTTTCAACTTCTAAAGTAGTAGAGAAAAAACAAATGAAAGCTTAATGATGGCTTATCTAGGTAAACTGCACTTTGAGTAGCAAGTGGCAAAGTATACCCTAGAAACAAGAGCTTAAAAATTCATCTGAATCTTCAAAATACTAACATTTCATTCATTTTTCCAGTATAATCTGATTGATATTTGCATCTATGGTATATGGGCCACCAACTCCATGTTAAAAGGCTAAGATTTTTTTTGGTGTAACATAAGTATAGTACTCCCAAGGAAAATATATATGCTGTAACATAACTTTGAGGAAAATACAAATTCTAAATTTTGAGAAAATCTGGACTGTGATGGTTAAGTCATACATGTCTGTAATTAGTAATATTAGGCAAATTAGAGCAAGTTCATGGAGAAAATGTTATTGTAAATACTTCAAAAATGTTACACTAAATACTTCTATGCATTTAACCAAGAATAGTAAAAACTAGACATAAGGCATCCGACTCTTTCATAGCTATTTTCAAAGAGAGGGGAGATCCAGTTTACAACAAATTACTTGTGGAATGTTGTTGAACCGCAAGACATGATCAGAAAGTGTTGACCCTGGGAAGACATCACCACCAATTGCAATACCTGAAGAAGGTTTTTTAAGTCAATACAAACCTTAAATTAGTAAACAATCTTACCAATCAAAAAAGTTAGATATTGAACACATAAATGATAATAAAACAAGATCAGCAACAAGATTGAGATACCTTCATATATTCCATCAGTTACACGTGCAACTGTGTTGTAAAGTTCATTAGACATGCCACCCTGCACTTACAGAATAGAGTTTGATATCTGAATACTCATAAGAATTACAAAAGAGAATATGTTAATGGATTTTATGCCATATAGCACAGCTCAGAGGACAAACTTCAGTATACTGGAAAGAAGGCTAGATCTGTACTTCAAGCATTATAGGCAGAAAATAAAACCAGCAATTAGAATATGAAGGGACATTGCACATACCAATGAGTTCAGAGCAGCCATCCAGAGGTCCCACTCTAGAATGGTTATGATTGTTTCATATGGTTGGACACAATTAGGTCAAGCAGAGTGTCTCCTACATGACCCACTCTATTTCTGTTATGTGGACTAAAAAATGTGACCAATCTTAACCATCCATTAGATCAGTCACTTGTTAACTCTCCCAACCCATATCAGTCCCATACCCTCATTGTATTGAAGTTTTGCTTGAAAGATAAGAGCTATCCAGAGTTGAAACATTCTAATTAAACACATACACACACAAAACACACAAAGAAGAAGAAAAAAGGATTTACTTTGGCCATGAACCAAAAGGCTTTGAGCTCAAATTTGCATCATGAAACAGATGCCGGATAGATATCTACTGGGAAAAAAAGAAGATGATGGGTAGAAAATTAGAACTTTTTTTTTTGATAAATAAGAAAATTAGAACTTTTTTTGTTGGTCTCTTTCTTTCAATCTATTGTAGTTTTTCCTATGTTTTACCCAGAAGCGGTTCAGGTTTTAACTGACTTGGCTTATTGACATCAACCCTGAGTTGAGACTAGAGAGCTTATTTTGCATGTTGCAATAACAAACTGACAAGCCAACCACAGTAAGAGTAGCTCATTCTGGCCAGTTCATTAAGAACCACCCTAAGGTAAATTCCCATCAAAATCTCCTTTTAGTGGCACATGAATAAAGAGAAGTAAGAAAGGAGGCTTGAAATATATGCATACCGATTTGGACACAAATCCAACAGATCCAGGCCTGTAAAGCTTGCAGTGGATTATGTTGTCAATAGTTCCTGCAGTGTCACCAATCTTGAAAGCTCCAGCTTGAATGCCTCCAACAGTTGCAGGGCCAATAACAACCTACAAATACCATCAGCACTAATTTAAAAACAAAAATAAACAAATATATCAGGAGAAAGATCAAGTCCAATAAAACTAAACCAGTTGCCCCCTTTTCCTAATAAAATTTGGTTTTGGTCATTCTCAGTTGGAATCACCATAACTTTGGGAGTCTAAGGTATTAAAACTACATAAGCGACTGAACCTAGAAGAAATGCCTAATATCAGTACATCACTCCAAAATAGTTTTCCAAAATTCAGTAGCACCCTATAAACAACCACACAAACACCATGTCAGCTCATTGTATCATTCATCTAAGCATCCAGTGTTCAGTTACTGGTGCTACCATGAAACCTTGAAAAATAAAGGGTCTAGCTATGCTGAGACTTACACCATGCTCTAAGCTTAAGTCAGCATGAACCTTGAAACTTAGCACTCATAAACAAGATAAAATGAGAAAGGATATACCCAATAAGGACTCCACACTTAGTTTTCTTATTTTCACTATATTGTAAATTACTTGTTTTCATTAAATATTCCTTATCACTTTGTCCTTTGCCATGATTTTGGAGGTTGATACATTGGAGTATAATGGAAAGTTGGATATTTGATTTTTTTTTTATAGCGATGACTGTATCAAGCTAAAATTGTTGGTTACACTAAGTAAAAATATTGGAATTGATGATCTAATACATCCATACATGTGAATATATCTAAGAGTTACTACCAGTATCTCCTTATTTCACCTTATTATTTGCCCGTGCATAAGCGATCAGTTGCTTCGTATCTGACTCTGGAACACCTTCAGCTATGATGGCTACAACTCTAATTGTTGGCTGTTTCAGAGCAGCCATGGAAGAGGCAGCAGCACTGCAACCACATCAAATTGAAATGACTAAGCATTAAAAGTCAAATGCATTCAATTGAGGTATTAGCACAAATATGATAAGTCACCTTCTAAATGACGCAAAGTTGATAAAAACATCAGCAGTAGGGTGCGCAGCACAGGCAGCTTCAATGCTGCAGAAGATTCAAAAAGCCGATGAGAAAACCTTTAAGTGCAGAAAAATACACACGAAAAGTAAATCCAAAAACATTTAAAATATTTTAATAAAAATAAAGCCATTGGCCATAGCTAGCAACTTGACTTGCCACCTTGTCATGGCTCTAGCTACAAACAAGTTGACTAAACTAAAGCCTAAGAGAATTGTTACAGTACAAATTGTAAATTTACTCAATAAATAGAATGTTGTGCTAGTGATAACTGATAACATATTGGGCTACAAGTAGACCATTCCTCCCTCACCCAAACCCCTGCTAGTTCGGTCATTTTGCAAATGTCTACCACAAGCCAGGCCAATTGACAACTTCTTTGGGGGCAAAAAAGAGTCCCCTATTCCTCCCTCTGACCTTTATTCATGGGTCAATTTCAACTCCAAAACTTTGGTGGTTATTATTCTTCAAGTGACAGAAATAGGTTGGTTTGCCTAGGAAACTGAAAATATACATATCAGCCCTGTACTGTAATATGTGTGGAAATTTCTCCTGAGTTACATGAGCCATCCAAAGTTTCAATATTTTAACTTAAAATATGCCCCAAAGGAGACTATTCTGGCCATGTGTCAAGGACTTTTTCCTGAAATTTGCCCCATGTATATAGGGTGGTGGGGAATATGCAGGGCCCCTTTACTGAACAACCTAACTGGCAGATTGGATTGCCACATATGGGGAATACACAGGGCTCCTTTACCAACCATAGTGCCACATGGAAGATTCCCAACTCCCTCACTAAACAACCCAACTGGCAGATTGCTCAACTGCCACTTCACCAATGGTTCTTTTCCTATTTAATGAAGGTGGGCGATTGGTCAATAGGAAGGTGATGAGGACAGGTTTTTGCACAGAAGTCATGATATCAACCATTAACAACTTTACCAGCTATGACTATGAGTTATTATTTATCCAACAAGAGACTCCTTATTAAATCAGGGTGTGTGTCACATAGTTATTCAGTATTCCTTGTCCCACACAAAATTCAGTTATTCAAGTTCGTAAATGAATCCTGTGGGACAGGCATCCAACCATAAGGTCTTATCTGAAACTTGATATGGGCTACATGTTTTCTATCCAACTTCACCAAACCGAAGTGCATCCATGCAAGCAAAGAAAAACACCAAGAAGTAAAACAAAAGAGAGAAAAATGTACGTTGTATGGACTGGTATGGCAATCTCCTCTTGACCAAAAAAGAGTTTTTGAAATCCCTCGGAACCTGGGTTAATGATCCCAGCAACAGACGGTGTTTCCCTTCCTGTACATATATAAGCAACAGAAATTGTACATTAGCATTAGATAGCATTTAAACAAAGATGGAAATATAGGTACAATTGTTGATATGCAATGACTACATCCTTTCCATAAAATAAGAAGGTATACATATTACATACCACAAAGGAAGTCAAAATCAAGCATCCGTTGGATGGGTAGCTGCTTATAGTTATAAAATAATGCTTGTGTAGTTCGGGAGAATAGTTGTCCCGTGGCCATGATGCACAAAGGCACTCAAAGAGACCTGAAAAAACAATCCTAGTTTTCAGTGCTGAGAATAACGGTCGAAGTTATAAAAAAGCATTCAACCTGGATAAGCACGCAAAAAATTGGAAAATAAGCAAATATCTTTAGATAAGAGTGGGTATCAGTGAAAGTAGACCTTTCACTCTGAATTCCTTCACCCATAGAAACTAGGCCAAAAGTTTGATCGGGTTGATAGTTGTTAATTGGTTACATGAAAATTTATGATAAAGGTCAATTGTCAATTTTCAATTATGAAAATTTGACCATTCTTCAAGCGAACTTGGTAAGTATACCATAAAGAAAAGAAAAACACTAATATAGAAAAAGAGTAGAGATCACGAAATGCTAAAAAGCTGCAATATAAAAACTCAAAATACTGAAATACGGAGTTCCTCTTGTAAGGACATAAAGTATATATCCATCAAAACGCGGAAATTTTGATTAGAATTGCAATGGAATTTCAAATAGAAGAATAGAATGTTATATCTAAAGTTTCCTGTAAAACGAATCAGACCAACTAGATCAACAAAACTCTACAGAGATTCAAATTTTGGAAACTAAGCAATAAAAAAAAAAAATCAGAGCCTTAAAACAGATCTACATCCTAACACTAATGAAATCTTAAGAAAAACAATGATACGCCAGCAATGTTACCGAAAGAAATACTGGTTAAGAATGCTGCTTGCTCTCAATTGATAGAGTATATATCCTTTCGATGGTTCAATCTTAGAGGAAAAAAACAACTTGAGGGAAAAAATCATTAAAACCGCAAAAGAATCACTTTGTACCATGAAAAAAACTACAATAACCAGAAGGACACGTCAATTCAGTAACTAAAATGTACTGGATCTCAAACTCAGCGGCATATCACTCAAAGCATTAGCAGATAAAGCAATACTAACGAGTGCGGGTAAAAGGAAGCAATGGGCTCTGGAGTCCCAGCTTAAATAATACAGATCGAAACATAACAAGACATTCTACCACTCAAACCTCCCAGTAGGACCAAAAACCAGATCTAGCATGAGCATTCTTGCAAACAAAGATCGATAATTACAATGCAAATGGAGTTCTAGCACAAAAAAACTCGTCGTGGCATAAATTATAACGAAAATGACAAAGAAAGACCAGATCTCACAGACCAAAACCAGCCACAGAAGAAACACGAAATTAACGAGTTCGTCAACTGAAAATCGAAAAGAAGCAGGGGAACCGGAAACCAACCTGAATCGATCGAAGAGGTGCGTGTTCGAGCTAAGCTAGATACGAGAAAGAAAGAAAGAAAAGAGGGCGGAGAAAACGCAGAAAACACGGAAGGGAAGGTGGGGGCTTTATATAGACAAGCTGCGAGCCTGCAACAATACAATCCAGCTACCCTCCTCCCGCAAGAGAGAGAGAGAGAGAGGAAGAATGAATGAAAGAGGGAGGGAAAGCTAGTCACGTGGCGTATGTTAGCTCCCGACTGACTGATTTTATAGTGGCTGAGTTCTAATGACTTGCCAATTAGAAAGAAAGCAAAAGCTAGAGAGAGAGAGAGAGAGAGAGAGAGGGGGGGGGNGGGGTGGGTAGTGGTGAGGTGAGGTTGGTAGGTGGATGCGAAGGTGGGCTTTGAATTGAAAATTGATTATTTGACAGATTTTACACAAACACCGATTTGTCGATTAATCAAAACTTTCAATCAAAGGTGAAACTGCAAACGACCTTTGAATTAAAATTTATTTATATTTTATTTTATTACTATTTTTTTTCTTTAAAATAAAGAAATATAGATTATGGGATAACGGATGAAATACTCCATCTACTCTTTAATGGCGGACACTGGTTTCTTTTGAGTGCCAAACGGGTCAATTCAGTTATCGGTGCGTCATCATCATCATTCTCGTTGTCGTTGTCATCGGATTCATCGCCATTTAAGGGTTCGTTTGGGAGGGCTTCACCATTTATTGAACTATTTTGGAGAATCTATCAAAATTCAAAAATAAATTCTGATTTTCGGCTCATATGAATGTGTTTTTTATTTATTTTTTAATTGGAAAAATTCTCAATTAATACCTTATACTTTGGGTCTAATGCCATTTTAGTCCCCAAACTTTAAAATGCAATAATTCAATACATGAACTTTTAGAATGTGCCAATTTAATACCTATCAACTGTTAAGTGGCATGTAAAAAGACATAAATTCCCTTTAAATGTCATCTATTTTTTTTATCAACCATGTAAGAACTGAACATGAATATGTTCAACCTGGACCAAAAATGTTTCAGATCATCCAATAAATGCATGGTCAATGAATGAAAAAAAAAGCACATGCCCAACACTTAATGCAATATTTCTTATTCTCATTCTTTTCAAAAATAAAATCAAGATTGGATGGCACCGTTGGATTTTGATCTCATAAGAGATTAAATCCAATGGGTTTGATTGGTCAATTACATGAGAAATTGCACCTGCACACTTGATTGAAAAATGAGTTTTTCTCTTATAAAACCCAATTTTAAACTTGTCCCACATTGAAAAATTATAAGTTTTGTTTTCAGTATTTCAATAGGAGCTGATTTACACTCCTTAGAATTAGTAGATGAGAGTATGGGGATTCGATACCGCGCAACGCGCGCGCACGCATGTGTGCGGCGCAATGAGGCGCTTTAGAGGCGCACTTTGCTCGCACTCGCGTGGCTTGCGATGGGCGGATTTGGTTTTGGTGCGTTGCTGACTGTTGATCACCGTTGATGAGATCAACGGTCATGATTCGATCGGGTGTGATCAAGAGGCACAATTCAAAGTTAACAGTCACTAATTGTTAACTACTTTTTAAACAATCACAATGTTTGAAATTGTGACTGTTCAATGTGCCTTTTCTAAACTAGCACCTACCTTTTCTTCATACCTCTTCACAAATTATTTAAGGAGCATGAATTAGACTCCAAAATACACAATTTCAAAATTCACTATATTTCTATCTCTTAGTCCGGTCTACTATAGTCTCACAGAAGGTTTTTTTTTAGACTCTTCAACTTTGCTAGTTGCAGATTATCGCCCAAGGCTCTATTGTATCATGGGAACGAATTTGTCTATAACCCAACAACAAACTCAGTACAACTGAGTGGGGGCAAATAACGTTCTAAAGACAGTGTCTTCAGACGCACCTCAGAGCTTCTCCTCCAAAGTTACAGTGACCCATTTTCTCCAACAGGCACGTCGAACTCTCTCTTTTCCCTTTAACCCGCTTCCTCTCGAAATTTCTATCCCCAGTGCTCTTGTGTATCTATTTGAGAGATATTTGGGGCGGAGCTACCCTCGTCTTATATAGCTCCACCTATTTCTACAAAAAAAAAGATAAATAAAAAATAAAAGAAGCCGATGCATGAAAGCCCTCTCAAACGCGAACTAAACTTTAGAGGGTAAAATTGAGAAACTGAAAGTTTGAAACCAGCTCTGTTAGTCTATTACACTGTAGCTGTCTAAGATCAGGTTTGGGTTACACTCTGCTGGAATCAAAGTTAATTTGAATGAATTAGATGGACCAATAAGACATAGTCCAAACATAGTCCAGACGATGGTCCAAAGTATTTATTTGATTGGATTGGACCTGGTCTAATTGCAATGGGTTTTATTAATCTGGGTTTGATTGAACCAATATCCAATCGATTGATCTAAAATAAGAACATGAGTGTCAATGGACCAGATTTAGATTGGACCCACTCTAAATTAAAACTAATTTAAACAGTTTGAATGATTCATACATTAAATTGGACCAGTCTAGAATAGTCCAAAATATTCATTGGATTTATTTAGACCTGGTCTATTTATAAAGAATTCATACTGGACCGGATCGGATTAGACCAATATCTGATTGATTGACAGTCCTATAAAAGCCCAACCAATGGGCACTAAGCCTTTTCCCAACTTATATGGATAGGTGAGTACAAGATCGAGAAATTGAAACTACCAGCTCTGTTATAGTCTATCTGTCCAAAGACCCAACCATTGATCACACTTTATATTTTTTAACCAAACCCAACCCTACCCAAATTTGATCAGTTACATGTTTTTTAAAGTTTTACGAGTAACACATGCGTTTAACAGGCTATATTATTATTTCTGTCTTTTTTTAGGTAAATTGTTGAAACTACCCTAAAGTTTTGATTGTAATTGAAACCTTTTTTGAAACTTGGTATTTGCTACCACATCTCCTCAGATCCCTTCGGTAGAATCCTTAATAAGAGGCACGAAAATGTCTAAAATAACTATATAATTTTTATTGAAGTTGGTTTCTACAGAAAAAAATAATACAAATAAGCAACAAAAAAAAGTAGAGAATTACATGTGCAGTGATTGATCTCCAATCGCTGATGAGCTCAGAGGTGGAGGCCAATCAGAAGAGAGCAGAGGATGATACTGACAATAAGAGGGTTGGAGTTGAAGTTGTCCAAAAGAAGGCAATGGCAACAAAGAGGCCTTATGAAAGGCCCCTGAAGAAGATGACTATTAAGGGGCGTTCTTTTTTTGGATTTTGAGGGGGGGGGGGA